ACCTTTCCCGGGTAGTTGATTGGCACGTTCACACTGCCTCCAAGGACTGGATATATATATATAGAAGATGCGTGCTCACCCTTACCCCTGGCATCGATTCCTTGGCTTCTGCCGCAGCACACGCCTCATACCCTTCTCACTCACCCTTTGGTGGGGCCTACCTTAAAAACTTTTCGCTTGGCTTGTAAATTTGCTTCCATCTCCGACACACCCAACCCGTTAACCTCTATTCGTCTCAATCCTGCTTTCCCTCCAGGAATGCACAAGGACTTCTTACTGAAATTTTGGCCGCATAAACAGATCTTGGTGAAACATTTTCTCCACAAAGGCAAGGTGAAAACACTCAGAGAACTGACTGAAAGTCTAGGTGTCCGCGATTTCCCTTTTTGGGTATATTTTCAGATTAGACACTATCTGCTTTCACAGAAACCCCCGTTCGACTGGGGCCGTTCTCTTACCCCTTTTGAAACTATCTGCGCTAAAGCTGAACCACGAAAGCACCTGATCTCGGAGATCTATCCCCTCCTACTGGAGAATCGGACTTATGACTCCCTCCCATCATGTCGAACGTGGAATAGAGATCTTGAAACTAACCTATTGGACTTAGACTGGGACCGGGTATTTAAGCATTCTCATAAATGCTCCCTCAACGTCTCGACTCAGGAAAATGGCTACAAAATAGCCTCGAGATGGTACCGAACCCCTTGGAAAATTCATCGGTTCAACCCCGCTTTCCCCAACAGTTGTTGGAGATGTGGGACCTCAGATGGATCATTCCTTCACATCTGGTGTCTTGCTCTGTTCTGCAACCGTTTTGGCAAGAAGTACACAGGCTAGTGGTGTCTGTAACTACCTTGCCTGTGGATTTCTCTCCGGCTCAATTCCTCCTTCATCACTCTTCCCTTTCCGGGGGGCAGTATTTCAAATCTTTAGCTATGCACATGATCAATGCAGCCAGACTCTGCATCCCTGTTCTGTGGGGTTCCACACGCCCTCCTTCTATACGCGATTGGCTCACCCGAGTGGGTAAAACGGCAGTTATGGAAGAACTGATTGCGACTGCACTTGATACCCCTACGAAATTTTCCCACACTTGGGCCTGTTGGACTCATTTCCTGACCACCCCTGCATATCAGTCTCTTATGGACCAACCTGTTTGACTTGACTTAGGCTCCCTACTGTTGTAACTCAATTGTATTTGACCCGATGGTGGTCAACATACTCCTCCTCCTTTGTGTACATCCCACATTTATTTGCAACTAATGTTAATTTAGACTTCTACCGCACCTGATATGACCCGTATTGATGATCCAATAATTTTTGCAGTCACCCCCTCCCTCACTCCCTTCTACCCATATGTTTCCCTCCCCCCCCCCCCCCCTTTTTTTTTTTTTTTTTTTTTTTTTTTTTTTTTCTTTCTCTTTCTTTCCTTCGCGCTTCTCTCCTTCCTCTTTTTTTTCTCCTCTCTTATGCTTGTACAAGCTCCAGATAATTATTCCGCAGAGCATTAGGCATGATGTCAACATCTTATCTCCTTTCCCATTAGCGATTTCCATGACAATCTACTCCCATATACGCTCTCCGCCACCTCCACTATCTCAAACCTGTAGTTTGGACTTCTGCTTAGATATTGTACGCACCTTCCTTTCCTCCATAGCACCATACTTTGAGACATTACTGTAGAATGCCTGGTGCCTCCTTGCTCTATTCGTTTGACAAGCACACTGGAATATTGCAGGCACAACCTTGTTGTGGTTTTTACTCATCCAATTTGTTCATTTCTGCATTGGATTGCATGCTCTTCTGTATGATATATGTTTTGCCACATGACCTATGTTCAACCCGTTTGAAATTTTATTCTGTCTTGTATCAATCTGTGTGTTTTGTTTTCAATAAACACCTCTTTTTTGGAAAAAAAAAATATATATATATATATATACACACACCTGTGTGTGTATTGTGTATGTGCTCTATATAATATACAGTTGTATAATATATATATATATATATACAGTATATAAACTGCTCGAATAAATTAAAGGAACCCTTTTTAATCAGAACATAGCATCAAGTCAATTAACTCCTGGCATATTGATCTGGTCAGTTAAGTAGCAGAGGGGGTTGTTCATCAGTTTCAGCTGCTTTGGTGTTAATTAAATTAACAGCAGGTGTACTAGATAGGCAACAATGTGATGACCCCAAAACAGGAATGGTTTTACAGGTGGAGGCCTCTGATATTTTTTCCCTACTCATCTTTTCTGACTGTTTTTCACTAGTTTTGCATTTGACTAGGGTCAGTGTAACTACTGATAGCATGAGGCGATACCTGGACCCTACAGAGGTTGCCCAGGCAGTCCAACTCCTCTGGGATGGCACATCAATACGTGCCATTGCCAGAAGGTTTGCTGTGTCTCCCAGCAAAGTCTCAATAGCATGGAAGAGATTCCGGGAGACAGGTAGTTACTCTAGGAGAGCTGGACAGGGCCATAGAAGGTCCTTATCTCATCAGCAGGACCAGTATCTGCTCCTTTGTGCAAGGAGGAACAGGATGAGCACTGCCAGAGCCCTACAAAATGACCTCCTGCAGGCCTCCTGAACGTGAATGTCTTTGACCAAAAAATCAGAAACAGACTTCATGAGGGTGGCCTGATTGCCCGACGTCCTCTAGTGGGCCCTGTGATCACTGCCCATAGAGCTCAACTGGCATTTGCCATTGAACACCAGAATTGGCAGGTACTCCACTGGCACCCTCTGCTTTTCACAGATGAGAGCAGGTTCACCCTGAGCACATATGACAGATGTGAAAGGGTCTGGAGAAGCCGTGGAGAATGTTATGCTGTCTGTAACATCGTTCAGCATGACTGTTTTGGTGGTGGGTCAGTGATGGTCTGGGGAGGCATATCCATGGAGGGACGCACAAATCTCTACAGGCTAGACAATGGAACCATGACTGCCATTAGGTATCGGGATGAAATCCTTGGACCCATTGTGAGACCCTACACTAGTGCAGCGGGTCCTGGGTTTCTCCTGGTGCACGACAATGCCTGGCCTCATGTGGCGAGAGCATGCAGGCAGTTCCTAGTGGATTAAGGAATTGAAACCATTGAATGGCCCCCCACGCTCGCCCGACCTAAATCGAATAGAACACCTCTGGGATATCATATTTCGGGCCATCTGACCCAAGTTGAACCTCAGACTGTCCAGGAGCTCAGTGATGCCCTGGTCCAGATCTGGGAGGAAATAACCCAGGACATCATCCGTCATCTCATTAGGAGCATGCTCCTACGTTGTCAGGCATACATACAAGCACGTGGGGGCTATACAAACTACTGAGTACCATTTTGAGTTGCTGCAATGAAATTTCAGCAAAAATGGACTAGCCTGCTGCATCATTTTTTCATTTTGACTTTCAGGTTGTCTTAGAATTCAGTCTTCTGTAGGTTGACCATTTTAATTTCCATCAAATGATGGGGCCTCCTTACATTCCTAACACATTACCCAGTCCATATCAGTATAGATATCCAGCATGATATTTTTCTCCTTTGAGATCTGATGTGTTTTCAAAGTGTTCCTTTAATTTTTTTGAGCAGTGTGTGTGTGTGTATATATATATCTTTTATATCCTTAATATGCGAAAATATAAAAAAGATAGTACAGTAATATAGTGTATCATGATCCATTTAGATCTAAATTAGGCATATGATTGCAAGTGTAAACGGTGCCTGAAAATGATTTCAAAGAGAATTTTTGGCTACCACCAAACTAAAACAGATAAAGCCAAGTGTGTATTATGAATAAAGTGCATCTCATAAACAAAGCAGAAAAGTCCTAGTATTTTATGTACTCCTATGAAGCGCTCCCTCCTTTTTCTTACATGCATGAAAGGAGAGCTGCAAACTCTCAGAGTGCAACTACACCCAGCATCAGTACAGTCGCATGCTGGCTTTAAGGAAGTGAAGCTGGATGTTTTCAGCATGACTGCCTGTGATATTGCCAACACAGAACCAGAATATTGTGGGCTCCTTTTGCAGTAGGCCACACTTGCATAACACACGCTGGGATATTACAACCACCACTGGTTAGAGGAACACACCAAAGTTGCACACTTCACACAAGTCCACTCTGTTACATAGCAGATGATAAAGTATCTTTATACCTTTAAAATTGTAGTTATGAAACTGTACCTCTGCATATTTTCCTTTGCCGCCTGTGGTATCTGAGCTTTTTTTCTGAAAGTAACATTGAATCTAAAACTATTAACAGCTCAGACATGTAATAACAATGGTTAAATAGAGGTGAACTTTAATATAATCCACCTCCTCTATTCTTAGATAATTATAGTTATTCCTGAGAGTCAGGGAACTTGTGGCTGTTCAGTAGAACTCAACATTCCCCTGGCCCAATAACTGAAAAATGTATTTAGTTCTCCTGCAAGCTGTGTAGCTTATATCCATATCTGCACACAAAAAAAAAAATCATATATTAGTCAGTTGTATACACACAACTAGAATTATTTAGAGAGACTTTACCACAGAGTTATTAGAAAAGGAAATACAGGAATCTCTAGCCACTTGCACTTCAAAGGATTTACCCCCCTTCCTGGCCAGGCCATTTTTTGCGATACGGTGCTGCGTTATTTTAACTGATAATTGCGTGGTCATGCAACACTGCACCCAAATGAAATTTGTGTCCTTTTTTCACACAAATTGAGCTTTCTTTCGGTGGTATTTGATTGCCTATGTGTTTTGTATTTTTTGCGCTATAAAAAAAAATTGACCGACAATTTTGAGAAAAAAAACAATAGTTTGGACATTTTGCTATTAAACATGTCCAGTAAAAGAATGTTAAAAATCAAATTTTGTCATAAATAAAAATCCCAATACATGTAAATTTATTCGTTTATGTGAAGGTTATAGAGTCTACAATTGGCGGTATAGATACTGGAATTTATTTATTTTTATATTAGTAATGGCGGTGATCAGCGACTTATAGCGGGACTACAGGACTGAAGCGGGCATTCTGACACTGGGGGGAACTGACTAACTGCCACTAACATCCCCAAGTGACACTAATACAGTGATCAGTGCTAATAAAAAGCACTGACACTGTACTAATACTGGGCAGGAAGGGGTTAACATCTGAGGTTATCAAAGGGTTAACTGTGGACTGTGTGTGTTTCATATTATGTGCTGTGTGCTGTTTTGCTATGTAAGCATGCTGCTCTGCTAAGCAATACAAAGCAGCATGCTGGGGCTGACAGGAGAGACATCTGTATTGTTTTTACATACAGACCTCTTCCCTGTCAGTGTTCCAATGGCGGCATTTGTACCCCCTACTTGGAAATGCAAAATCACGTGTATATATACATGATTTTGAGCAGCCCTGCTGCCCTGTAGCAGTAGTTCTGCTATAGGGCAGTTGGGAAGCGGCTAGATATGTTAACCAGTACAGTTTAGAGCCTATGCATGCTAGCCAGGACCAATGAGTCAGAAATGTAAGTAGGACTTTAGCATATGTGTAGCTTTTGTACAGTTTAAGCCCACCATAGACAAACAGAAGTCTTGCTGATTTTTCAGAATAATTCTGCCTCTAACCTGAAGAGCCAGAAGCCATCACCATTTATCTTGCAACTCCCCCAAGGGACTAAAGGACAGCATGTTATGTTAATGTATTTCTTCCCTCTTCTTATTGAAGGTCTGGTCAGGTACAAAGTTAGAAATCACCGTTATATTTTTGCCTATAGAGTGCATATTTAGTAATTTTATATTGTATCGTGGTCATCAATTACTGTACTGGAGTCTATTGCAGTACTGCTTCTTGATCTACCATAAACGTTACTGTAATTTTTTTCAAAACAAAAGTTACCTATAAACATGGATTAGTTGATTAATTTATTCTCTGAGTTCAAAATTTAGAGAAGACTATACCTTCAAAGGATATCCTTTTTTACTTGCATCTAAAATTTACAAAAAAAATGCACACACTATACACCAGCCCACTAAACCCATCATACATGTTAGTAAGTTCATGGCAAAAAAATGCCACAAGCATGAGGCTCAAAAAATGCTTTCACAAGAAGAATGCACGAAAAAAGGAGCTCAAGTGTAAAACTTCAACTATACATGTTGGATCTCCACGTGCCTTTTCTAGTGGTTCCAGTTCAAGACTAATGGAATCTAAATGAATTACATTCACTTTACCATTAGATTCTGGAAGATTCAGTAGTTCAGTTCTGGGGCTGGGAGGGACTGTCATCACCTAAAGGCCACACAGTCAATAGACTCATGTTGGTTAAAAATGAAATTTTGAAACAAAATTAATGTTTATCCATTATTTTATTTTACCCTTTGGCAAGTTATTGCTTTTAATCATTGAACGTGTGATATATTCAAATATTTAGCAATCATTGTTTAGTTTTGGTGCAACAAAACAACATAATGAATGGTTTAAGAGGAAAATGATTAATAACCTTTTTATCACTATACATATAGGGTAAATTAGACCATCAGTCAGTTGCTAACCAAGCTGTCCAGCTACCATTATTTACATTTATAACCCACAGTCTAATTAATGCAAGCAGCCCAATGATAAATTAAATATAACGTATAGCGTTTGTTTAGCTGGATGATGGTTTTGAAAATATATTACCTCATCCCTACTCAAGATATAAATAATATTTAGGTTGTAAAAAAAAAAAAGCATTGACCAACACTATAATGTTTTTTCAGTTGTGTTCATTTTTCCTTGACATACAGCTTCATGTGAGTAATAATTATTTATTTAAGGTACTTATATAGCGATGTCAATTTACACAGCGCTTTACATATATATTGTACATTCACATCAGTCCCTAACCCTCAAGGGGTGTACAATCTAAGGTCCCTAACTTACATTCATACATACACATACTAGGGCCAATTTAGACAGGAGCCAATTAACCTACCAGCATGTCTTTGGAGTGTGGGAGGAAACCGGAGTACCCAGAGGAAACCCACGCAAGCACAGGGAGAACATGCAAACTCCAAACTCCAGGCAGGTGGTGCCATGGTTGGAATTCAAACTAGCGACCCTACTACTGCCAGGCAGAACTGCTAACCATTTAGCCACTGTGCTGCCCAATAATACATGTTTTTTTGTTTAGATTAAATAAAGATTCCCAAACTGCATCTGTGAGTGTGTTGTGGTCATGTCATATTGAAAATACTGTGTAAACAAAAATGTTGCTCATTTTGTTACCACAACACAGAATTCTCATGAACTTGCACACCTTGGGGTGTCCCTAGGGCTGGTGTCACCCGGTGTGGTAACACTTGGTCTCACAACTCTGACGATCCCCGCAGGATGGATCGGATCTGCGGATTGAGCATAATGGATTGGAGTCCGATCCATTATGCTCCTCAATTCACAGATTCGATCCATCCTGCGGGGATCGTCAGCTTGCAACCTATACAGGGTTAACTGACCTTTCCAAGAGCTCCATGAAAAAGAAAGTTTTAAAGCAAGCCAACGATCCCTGCAAGATGGATCGGATCTGCAGATTGGGGAGCATAATGGATCGGACTCCAATCCATTACCTCAATCCGCAGATCCGCTCCATCTTGCGGGGATCATCGGCTTGCTTTAAAACTTTCCTTTTTGTGGAGCTCGTGGAGAGGATTCGGTGTCACCCCGTGTGATAGGTGTCACCCAGTGCGGCGCACACCCCCCGCACCTGCCTAGGGACACACAACTGCTAAGACCTTCTGAAAAAAATCATAGGTCTAAGAATAAAACATATAACAGTGCCAGATGATATCAAACTGGCGTTTTCAGGTATAGGGAATGCTCATGTATATTGTACAGGATTACACAGTTATCCTTAGATGAAAAAAGAGAAATGCAAAAGTTCTGTAGTCTAATGTAAAGCAGCCCAAACATTTCCAGCTCTATACATCACGTTTCTAAAATGTTCCTATATGAGATATCTGTTCTATGAACAATAATTCTTAGATGAAATAATATTTAGCTTGACATTGCACATTAGAAAGAAAGTTGCGCATTGGGACTACATGACCAGTATACCCCAGGTGTTAACACTGGTATGTATTCACTACAAGTTCCCTTAACAGGAGAGGATATTTGATGTGAAATCAGCCTGAATAATGTGTCAAGGATTTCCTAAAGATAGGGAAAATCTAATAAGATCTTTATAGCTTACATGTATTGTTTGTTTTTAAAATTGAAGCTGCAAAAAGCTTTTAATACCCATCAGAGTAAGAACTTCACATATCAAGGCATTTCTTCTAACTAGAGGTACAAGTCTGATTAAATGAGTTTCAACAGGCTTCCAGCACTGGTCTGATACGATAACAGCGCAAACAATTTTCGTTTAATCAATACAATATTGGTCCATAAAATAACGAGAGACCAAGACCATGCATGCTCAGAAAGGAAAGAATACATTACAAAACAATACGTCACTTTCGAAGTTGTATTCTGTCATACGAGAATTTTTGTAACTTTAGTAACCTCTTCATTTTTGGTATGAGACTAGCATGCAACAAAAATGAACGATAAGTCATCCGATTATCTGATCATGTGTACTAGGCATTAGTCCAAACACAACAGCTCCAGTTTTGCTTCTATTTTTGTGGAATCCAGCCAGGGCTGCTGTTAGAAACCATAGGGCCCCATACAGCCAACCTGACAGGACCTCCAAAGAAAACAAAGTTTATTATGCTTCAGTTATGAATGAACACATTGAGTGATCGGTACCAATTACTCATTGTGCTCATTCAGGAGAAAAAGTGGCTGGTAAATATGAGGAGGGAAGCCGGAAGCACTGTGGGGGTGGCGGAACACAGGAGGGCCTGGGCAGCAGAGGAAATGGACAGTGCACAGGGAGGGTGATGGGGGGGGAGTACTGGAAACAATCCCCTGTATGGCTCTTTCTGCAACAGCTGAAAGACAGCGGGAGGGAGAGGAGAAAAAGCCAGCTCTCATCTGCTGCAGAGAAAGGCATACAGGGGATTGGTTCCAATAATTAACCCCCAACCATGCCGATCCCCTTCCCTGCCTACATCCGATTCACCCTGTTGCCTGGGCCCCACTGCTGGCTTGGGCCCCGTACAGGAGGACTGGTGGTACCCCCTTATCCACAGCCCTGAATCCAGCCTATGTTTCCTTTCCTGCATACAAATACAATCCCAGGAACATTCTATGGTACATGAGGGAGAAAACAAATGTAGCACCCTCCTAGATAGGTGCTCGTATTATTTAGATTTAGTGCTGGCTCACTGTGTTCACTGGAGATGTGCGTATTTTTGTCAGGTAAATTTAGCTTGCCTCACTCTATTCAATGTAGCTGCAATTGATTAGTTAGGTCTGTTCAGTGTTCTCAGCTGCTGTCAGTCTGATAGCTCTAGAAATTAGTAGAACTTTCTGGATTATAGGTGCGGACTTATGCAGAAGGCAGTATGAATATTTCTACAGCCCTTACCAATCCCAGTGAGTTTGGCGCTGATGGCTGCTGAGAGACTGTATATGTTCTCTGGGCACACTGAGATCTGCATCTTTTTCTGCTGAGGATCAGTCCATGCCCTGGAGGCCGACTGCCCTCCAAAGCAGCACTGCCATGTGCTTGATTTCAAGAGGCCTCAGGTGGGCGACCTGGGTGCTGAAGCTAATCTTGTGGGAGGACGTACCTGTACATCCACCCAGAACGATGCTTGTTGAAGTGGTTAAATGTGCATTCAGCTTTTAAATCTGAACAAAAATTTTTTATTTTAGTTTTCTGTCAGGTAATTTTCATTACTGTCTCTATCCCCAGTTTTTATTTTTGGGAGGTACATGTTTGAAAAAACTCTCTCTTGATTTTATCCTGGAGACCATTGTCAAAGGGACTGAAAGCGGTATGAAACCCTTGTTGAAGTGGTTAAAAATCTAAAAATTTTAGTTTTCTGTCAGGTTTTCATTATATATTGCAGATTACCAATCATTAGATGTACCATCAATCATTAGTGGTTGCATTAGTTTTCTTTTCATTTGTTTTTTTCCCTCTGTTTTCACCTGGTGATCTGGCTAGTAACACACCTTCTGTATTAATGAGACACAACTCTGGACGAATAAGCACAGGAGGCACAACAGACATCAGCCTTCTCAGTCTGGGGCGTGGTGTAGTGTAAAATGTATTGGCAGATTTAGACAAACTATACAAACTAAAGCCAAACTCCCCAGCTCACACTTTATAATCAGGTACAGCAAGCAGTTTTTTTCTTTTGGGATAAAGGTTTTACATAAATAAAAGCTGTTCATTTGAATGACTCCTGTCAGTGTTAAGTGGTTTGTCTCATCCATGTAAACTTATCCATTCTG